GAAAATTATACAATATCTCAAACCGTATACAAAACAGTCCTAATCTTTCCGTTAAAAATATTTTGATTTTCCAAATGAAATACGAAGGCTATCGACGAGAAGTCAACGATTATTACCAAAAATATATGAACCAAAAAATTTCCACTAAAAAGAGATCTGTAAAAGATAGACACCTATACTGTATTGCTTAATACATTTTCCTTAGCAGACAATACTAATGGGGTTTTCATTAAATTATATACAATATTAATTGTATATTGATTTTAGACGAGTTTTTAAAACCAATTGATATTAATTTCAATCATAAGTTTCGAAGACAAAGGGAACAGAAATTCATTAATAAATAACTGATTCTTTAAATTTCAATGTCAGTCCATATAAATATTGTTCACATTTTTTTGGCAATAATTCAATTCTTCGGGTTATATAAAGCATGGGTAAATATTGTCCAATATATTTGCCATTGAATTAGTTTAATAACATTAGAAAAACCTTCATTAAAATTAATTTAAATTATGAGTTACTCATGACTTTCAATGTCAGCCTCTCTTCGGAGATGTTTACAAAAGATTATTTCAAAAATCTTAAAAATTTCTGTATTTTTTAACCGTTTAATAACAAGAGATTAAATATAATTCAAAATTTTATTTGTCATTAATTTCTAATTATTACAAGTAATTAACGAATGATATAATAATTAAAATAGTGCCACAAAATGAAAATATAATAAACTAAAAGACAAACAAATGACCGAATACTCCAATCCTTTGATACAATGTTTGAAATACAATAATCACAAAATATCTTATAAATTAGGATCAGTTATAAGAAAAGCATCGTTTAGTCGGATATCTTAAGCGAAGCGTCGAGAATAGTCTCCAAATCCTTAACGTTAGACTCTTGAGTGCAAGAGTTGGGAAGAATGGCATTGGAATCGTTAAGCGGTTGTTTAATACACTCAACAGAATCGTCGCCTCTTCTGAAACTGAAATCATAGATCATATTCTCGTCGGTAATGCATGTCTTCATGAAAGACAAGAAACGAATGAGAAAATGAATGCATTGATCGCTAGACCAGTATCTGCTGCCCATTTCTGCCAATTCGGGCACTTTCTTGCTGTCGATGTCCATCAAGACGTTGTGACTAATGGTGGCCATCACCACTTCATCCATGCCCTGAAGCCAAGCCTTTGACCAAAATCTCAATGATTTCTTCTTCTCAAAGTATGAGTCATCTCTTAGGGAACGGCTCTCTTCCACCAGTTTTAAGTCGACGGGTCTTTCATTATCATCGATGGCATCGATTTCATTGAGTGTCAAGAGTTTATGCGAATCCAAAGTCACACAATTGATGCCAAAGAATTTGTGAAACTCATTCATTTTAATGTCTTCTCTATCGGTAATTAAGTGAAGAAAATTGAGTCCACAATACGTCCGACGGCTGGCATTACCGACTGAATACGGGTTTTGTTGTCTTTCGGACCGAGTTTTGTAGAAATAGATGACACCTAAAGACATGAGAAGATTATGTGAGTAATAGATAACATATGCCAACAAATGGACAGTCAATGCAAACCACTGGTCAGTTGTGCCGATACTTTCCAATTGTTTGAAGTGTCAAAAACAGTGGCCATGATTTCGGCGACGGGACCGCCGAATGAGACAAACTGTGGCTTATATTTGTCGATCAAATCATTGTCTTTGAGCGCTCTGTGAAATGACTGCCACTTCAGCTCCCGATAAGCCTCGTAATCAGTGATGAGTCCATTGTCTTCAACGCAATCGGCAAAACCGGTCTCCAAATCAGTTGTCGACAATTGCGGCCACTCTTCCGATGCCTTCAGTTTCGGCAACTCTTTAGTCGTGTCGTACTTTTGATCGCAATCTATGGAGAAATGAAGCACTCGTTGCTTGGATTCGTCCCACTTGTTGTCAATGAGTCCTCTGGATCTGATGGACAACCTGTCGACCACAGAGACTGATCGCAAGTTTCGTGTCGTCAACTCAACGGTTGAGTTAATTAGATCCGTGACGGCTGTCGACGGCTGAGCTACTCGTTTGAGTTCCCATTCTTCGTATGTGGACTCGGGTGCGGACATTGTCTTGAGATGTGTCTTCAAGTGATGTCCAATCAATGGTAAGCGTGTATTGACTGAACACGTGCTCAACCTTTCAGTCCATTCAATGCCTATTATTGGCTAATATTGAGAAATAGTCACTTATTTTGAGGTTTACTTTACAGTAGTTTCACATAAGGCTAACCATTGGTTGAGTCGATCGTCATTTGATTCAATGTTTCGTTAATTACATTTAAAAGTGTATCACTTTTTTTGCAACTTTCATAAATTTTTACAATAGTTTAAAAATTTTCATTTAAATTCAGTTCATTTAAAATTTAGTTTTTGAGAAAAAATCTAATGATAAACATGTTTTACAATTACAGTGTATTGGTATTGCATTACAATATTTTAAAAACTTTTAATGTTTTTAATTTTGAATATGAAAGCAAAAATAGTTTTGTATTCACTAATTATATAGTATTTAGATTTAAATATTGTATATTAAAATTGTTAAATGATTTGTTATTTAATCATGTTATGTGTGTTGTATTGCACTGGTAGTCATATGATTTAATTATACAAAACTAAACATATAGTAAATTCAATAAACATTTACCATGTATTGAGTGTATAATTATCGTAAAGTTATAAATAAGTGAATAATAAAAAGTTAGGATTTGATAAGTTTTTTCGCATACATTAAGTGGCGAGAAATTGGCGTAAATTTGTTGACAATGTGTTAAATGTTTGCGAAAATGAATTTGTTTTTTGAGTTAACAATCAATTGAAGCACTGATTGTCTGTGAAGTGAAAATACATTAGACTTTGAATGCAATATTAGGACCAATATTGAGGCCAATTTGGGTCAAAACACTTCACATATCAATACTATTCACTATATTTTAGTATAACTTATGTCTCCTTCATTTTTCATCGTATTTTTAACATTAAATTAAGTTTTTTTTACATTATAAACGATATTTTTATATGATATTTTGCAATACATTTAATTTTAAAACTCATTTAATGAGTAAATTATTGAATGATATTTTATATTAATTAATGCGCGAAACAATGAAATGAATGAAATATAATAGAGAAATATGATATTAAATCAAATATTAAATGAATTAATCAAATATTGACTAAAATTACAACCAATTCATATAAAACAAGGAAAAGAGAGTTTCATTTTAACCTCAATTTAAATGTTTAGTCTAAATGTTTAAAGATTTTGCTAAAAATGTATACAATTTGTGAAACAATTTTTGCTTTAGTTTGCATTTTGTTTGAATTAAACCTTAAAATACATTGAAATTCATTCATAGAAAATGATTCTGTAATTCAATTGATTTATCGATAATTTAATTTAATTTTAAGCAATAATTTATGAAAAAATTTGATAAAAATAGTAAACTTGATATTACATGTGAAATAATAATACATTTTCCGATTATTATAATGAATAAACATTACGTTAAGGTTACATAAGAGTTGCCCAAATCGTTGTAACTTTAAGTATTAATTCAAATTCAATTAATAAATGATAAATGAAAACATTTTCTATGAATACATAATATGGTAATCAATTGGCGAGAATGTCTTTGATTAAAAATGAAGACTTTTGACTACATTTTGGTGTCAATGACTCTCTTTTACAACCACTGATATTATTAGTATTAGTCTTATTAATAATAATATTATTATTAGTAATACTGTTATGATTGAATAGTTTTGTATTGAATTTATAGTGATATTTATGTGGACTGTTGTGCGGATGGGAAGCGATGGATGCGGTGGTGGAGGAGTAGGGATGGGAGGCGTTGGAAGCGTTTCGGAGTTTAGATTTGCCGACAGTTTTACGAAGAATACGATTAATAGACGAAACGCTGGGCAAAGAGTCTGTGAGACAAATGCCTTCGCACTGAAGTCTATCCCGTATTTCCCACGCGAAGAGCGATCCGTTTTCCTCTTTATATTCCCTTATTTTGCTGATCACTAAAGGAGTGGACACTCGAGGCTTACTTCCACCTTAAATGCCACACAAATATAATAATAAAATGAATACAAGATTATTGTTAACATAACTAATTCATTGTATTAATATTAAGTTTTGAATAACTATTTTGACAACATTTTACACCAAAGAATAACTTGGAAACTGACTTTTGACCGCATTATCCTTATTTACCTTCTCTTATAATAGCATTCAATTCTTGAATATTTTTAGATAATGTTTGTCTAAATGTTAACTAAAAGATCGTTTTTGTTAACAAAATAGGTTTTATTGTGAAAATGTCTATAAAAATTGAAATATTTGTTGAATAAAAAATATGATAACTTATTTAACTAAATTATATTTAATAAGAAATCTTGAAATCTATTTGAAATACTACAATATATTTATATTCACGGTTTTGAAAGTGAAATATAGAGAAAAAATGTTATCTCAAAGGAATAACAATTCAATTAATTTAAAGTTTCATTGAATTATAAAAAGCGAATGCTTTTAAAAAAATGATGTCTTTTCAAGTCTTTTAAATACTTTTTTGAGGCCATTCCTAGAGTTAAATGGTTGGGAAGGTTTCAAAGTCTGTGAATCTCTGCAATGATTTTCTATTTTATAATATCTTTATCAACAAATATAATCATTATTTCATATTTAGATAATAAAGATTTTAATCATAATTTTTAATATTTAAACAAATTTCAAGATTTTTTTTCCTAAAAAGTGGCATTTTTTGTGTATATAATTAAGTGATTATAAATAAATGCTTGAATTGAAGAATAATAGATGTTATTTAAATTAAGGATAACGTTATATGAAAATATAATTAATATTTCATTAAATGTCTATTTTGTTAATTGAAGAGTGAAATCAATTTTAATCAAACATTGAATAATTGCATTAAAATACGAAAATTATAAATATGATATTTAAATATAAAAACTTTGTTTAAATTATTTTTATGTAACTCTCAATCATAATTGCATTTAGAAATTACTCCTGAATCCGATTAAACACGTCTTTTGTTGTTTACAATTGAATGCATTATAATTAATAATAAATCGACAGATAATTGCATTCATTATACTATTTCTCGCCTTCAATATTGAAGGAAAGGTTACTTATTGATCGAATTAATGCTATTTTATTTAAATTTTAAACACTTAATCCTTAAACGTCTGATAATTTGGTTAAAATACAAATATAATAAAGCGTTTTCTTTGTGATTAATTATCACACAATTCTCTG